CCGAGACACCGAGCGCTGCCCAGGCCCGATACGCCCAGCGACTCCTCTCTGCGTTCCTATATTTATTGAGAGATCGAGTTTTATGGGCGTCGAGCGGTCCGCGCCCGCCGGACCGACGGGCCCCGAACCCGTGTTCCTCGTGTTTCCTTAGCTCTTGCTCGATTTTTCGACCGGCCCGCGCCCAGGTAATGAGCTTTCCGCGGCGTTCACGGTGTTTCCGCGTTTGATGAATGTCCTCTACCTCGCCGAGATTCTATTGACTCCTCGGGAAAGTGTTTCTGAACTTTTTGTTGGCTGTTTTGCAGGCGAATGTAGGTGTTCTATTTAAGGGAAGCTTGATTGAATTATGGATCTTGGATTATTTGTTACATTGTTCTTTAACTTTGTAGTTTCCAGCAAGTACTCGCGTTGTCCTTGAGATTAATGAGATGGAAATATTTATGATAACTCGTATCTGAAGGTAAATTCTCCCGAATTTTTGCAAAATTTTGCGGCTTTTTTGTTGGCTGTTTTACAGGAGAATATAGATGTTCTATTTAAGGGAAGCTTGATTGATTTATGGAACTTGCATTATTGGTTACAATGTTCCTTAACTTTGTAGTTTCCAGCGAGTACTCGCGTTGTCCTTGAGATAAATGAGATGGAAATATTCTATAATAACGCGTGTATCTGAAGGTAAATCTTCCAGAATTTTTGCAAAATTTTGTAGCTTTTTTGTTGGCTGTTTTACAGGAGAATATAGATGTTATATTTAAGGGAAGCTGGATTGAATTATGAATCTTGGGTTATTGGTTACATTGTTCATTGACCTTGTGCAGTTTCTAGCGAGTACTCGCGTTGTCCTTGTGATAAATGAGATGGAAATATTTATAATAACTCGTATCTGAAGGTAAATTCTCCCGAATTTTTACAAAATTTTGTAACTGCTTTGTATTCTGCAATTTTGAACTTTTTGTTGGCTGTTTTGCAGGGGAATATAGATGTACTGAAGGGAAGCTTGATCGAACTATGTATCCTAGACTATTGGTTACATTGTTCATTGACTTTGTGCAGTTTCTAGCAAGTACTCGCGTTGTCCTTGAAATAAATAAGACAAAAATATTCTATAACAACGCGTGTATCTGAAAGTAAATTTCCTCGACTTTTTGCAAAATTTTGCAACCATTTTTTATTCTGCAATTTAGCAAACATAGAATATTCAGTGATGGTAACATTGATCTTAACATTATTGACCATTACTGCATAATGCACGTGTAGCATTATCAAAGTCGCATAATTGAAAGTTTTAATAATGCGACATCGAAAATGTTAAGTTATTTATGCAGCTACCTAACCTAAATTTCTAATGCTCATTAAAGGTGCCCGCAACTTTTGCATATTGCAAAGATAAGGTTATGATAAAGCAGTCCTGGAGCTGTAACATTTTATTAAAAACCGACTGAAAAATATTAAAACATACCTTGAACTGGTTCGCAGGTATACTCTCGAAGTTCTGTTATAGCAATTTGCAGGTGTTCACTGTAGTTTAATTCGTTCTTCGCGCTGCGACGATTAAGTGCACGAACGCGCTCCGGTTGTTCCTCATACATATGGTCTTCTGGGACTGCTGACTACACACAAACATTCAATTGTTTCAAATTTCGAACGTGTTTACATAAAACGAGTCGAAAACTTACCTTACGTACCGGTGACAAGCTGATTTTTGCCGAACAGAAGGACACAGAATCCGCTTCCCTCCTTTCGCGCAGACATATTGGTTTTCTGGTCACGTGACGCAACGGCGCGAACGAAACTTCGAGAGTGGCCCCTTCGAACCAATTACAGATGCGTCATTATTGTCTTCGACAGCTGCATCTCAATAAAACATTCAAATTCCTCGTTTCTTTTATATTATTTGTACCAATTATTAAACTGTTATTTTCTACATAAGTTCAATATTCATTTTTACATTAGAAATAATTAATTAATTTATTCCCTAACTTCTCCAGCATTTTCCGTTACAGTTAACGAAAATGGTGGGAAGACGTTTGAAATTTGAACCATGTCTATTGAGGTTCCTATAAATTTCGATGATCCGAATGAAATTTAATTGAGGATATCACTGAAGCTATAGTATATTCGATGACTTTCTTTTACGTTTAAGCGCGGACGTTTCTAGGAATCCCGACGATTCGCGCGAAAATAGAAAAATCCCTACTAAACCAGCCTCAGCATCCCATTATCGTTGAGCGTAATATCGTAACACATGGATGGTGTGAGTAACATGGAAGTCGTGAGATCCGTGCGCCGCGGACACGAACGAACAGTACGAGAAGGCGCAGCTACACTGTTTCGCCTATCGGAAATGCAGCGTACCTCGAAAGCTACCGTTCCCTTCTATCGCGTGATTTATTATATTATTCCCGGTTACCGAGCCTCGGCCACTATAACCAGTTAATGTCCCGACGCGACAATTCCGCAGCTCTGCCGTGAAAACTCTATTCGTTCTTGTTTCTAACCAGCGTCGTGCAGCGTTGATCATTAGCTAAGGATCTGTAATTTAACACAGCAGTCTTAACCGACTAGCGGTAACCAGTAAGTACCTGTTAATGTCGCATTTAACGAGCTACTAATTTTTATCGGCGGTACCAGAAAAACTCCTAGAATTTTTGAACTATATCTAGCTAAACTTCAATTACCCTGATAAAACTTATCAAACTATCACGAAGATTGACAAACATCTCCACTCTTGTACAAGACACAAAGCTTTCATTGTTTCGCGCTTTCTCGCCAAGAAACCAGATTGAACCGTCGAAGCTGGGAACGAGCCTCTTCCCATATTCCCGCGAAAAAATGGCAACCCCCTCGCCGTTCGGCAGATAAGTCACCGCTCTGTGGCGTCGTAAAGCGGCGGACTTCCTATTTCTACGAGGGTACACGTTCCAGCGGTCCGTATCATTTCCACCGGCTGATTTATTACATTATTCCAAGCGTCGAAGGCCGGACAACCGTGGCCTCGGAACAACCAGACCTGTTAATTCGATCTATTTTCTAGCCTCGCGTACGGGGGGGTTGCGTTCGCGAAACGATCGACCGATCGGAGAGTCATACGCGCGCTGAACGGCGAACGGGACGAGGGAAGGGGGGGAGGAGAGGACTGCGCTCCTTTTGTTCGTCTCTTCGGGACCGAGGAACGAGGAAACTATGGGTTTCTCGTGCACACGGGCTCATCGTCCGTCGCTGCTAGGCCGGATTAATTATGCGCGATAAAGTGCGTCGGACACGTGTAGCTACATGTGCCGTATGCGCGCCTATGTCGCCGTCGCGACGTCACGACCGATCAGATATTTCCTGAAATAATGCCACGCTGCCTCTGTCCCGTCCCCTTCCCCGCGATCCCCCAGCCCTCGCCCCCGCGAACCCTGCCCGCCATTCCGGGGCAGTTCAAACTGGCCGGCGTATTGCGTTCGGGGGTGCCAAGTTCCTTGATTCGTTTGCACGAGGGTGAGACAACCGACGGCGAATATGTACGGCACTCTTGATCACTGATTCTTGGAGGGATTGTTTCCGATGAGTCACATTTCCCGAGAAATTTCGGCTTTAATTGATGTACGGATGATGGATATTTCGCTTCGAAAGGGAATGTATTAAAGTTAAAGTAGCGGCAGGTGAGAGTGAGTTATAGGTTGAAGGTGGAAAAGAGAATTGGCAGTGAGATCAATACGGAGTGAAAGAGAATTGGGAATATTGAATGTTATTATTAATATGTGTAATTTTGCAGGTTGTACTTTAAAAAATAGGGTAGCGTAGCATCTTAGGGAGGTGATAGGTAATGGAGCAATGGAAAAAGTTGCAAAAAAATGAATTCAGATGAATTCATCATCCTTAGCAGAGCGTGGTTTCGATCCACGGACCTCTGGGTTATGGGCCCAGCACGCTTCCACTGCGCCACTCTGCTGTTGTGATTACAGATTTTTAAAATTTCTAGACATTTAGTTTGGAAATAAGAGTAAATCAATACTATCTGATTGTTATAATGAAGGTATATATTTTATCTAATAGGGTATAAGGAAATTTCTAATGGAATAAGGAGAAACTTTCCTTCATTTCTTGATTACGTTTCAATGGTTAAATATTTTTGTAAACAACGTCATAAGACACGTGGTTCAGTTCAAGATTTCATTCTTATTCGAGGAAGATTAATATATTAAGAAAAATAAAGCAATAATATGCGTTTGCATACATTACCTTTTAAATTAAGAATATGTATTGCATGCAGTGTTACAAAGAATAAATGAATAAATAATTCATTATTTTCCACCTAATCACGTGACAAATTATTTGGGAAAGGTTCCCAACGAAGCAGAGTGGCGCAGTGGAAGCGTGCTGGGCCCATAACCCAGAGGTCCGTGGATCGAAACCACGCTCTGCTAGTTGATTTCTTTTTTATTTAATTTTTGCACATATTATAGCTGAAAACTTGCTACCAGAACCTTGCACTCGCTTATCTATCGATTTGCGATAGTAGGAAATAATTATTTTGCAATTTATTAAACGTGCAACTTGAATATATAACCCAACACACCACCAAACAGGACACACCACCCCTTTTTACCTTCTGCAAAAGAAAAATGCTATTTATAAAGCCGCGATTAATATTTGCATACATAAAATATTCATGAATGTTGAAACAAATATGTGAGTCGTTGCTTAATTCAGTCCACAGCAAAATGACTGATAAAAAAGAAAAATGAAATTCACCACTTAGCAGAGCGTGGTTTCGATCCACGGACCTCTGGGTTATGGGCCCAGCACGCTTCCACTGCGCCACTCTGCTTGTTGTACTGAGATGCAAAAAATTTCGCCATGTTTCTAAATTTTTTTTATTCGCAAAAATTGATTAACAGTCACTCCACTCATTCCATGTTTACTTAGTTACATTTAGAGCTTACAGAAATTCATTCGCGAGCTCTCCACCACAAATTATCATCTAATCAAATTTCAATGTTCCCTTGTTACAGTCCGACATCGTGCACCAAAGTGTCTACGAGCTGGTACACAGCGAAGATCGAGAAGAATTGCAAAGACAGTTGATGTGGAACTCTTTTCTACCAGCGGAGAGCGCGAGCCTGCCCCTTCACGACGCCCTTTCACCCCAGCACAGTCATCTTCTGGAACGCAGTTTCACCGTCCGCTTCCGGTGTCTGTTGGACAATACATCTGGCTTTTTGGTAAACGAAAGAAAGAATCAGAGACTATCCTCTTTTATCGCCGCGTTCCAGCGATCGTAATAGTCTTCCGAGCGACGATTATTTCTAGTATAGTTGATACCGTTTTGAATTGAATATCCTGGTCCGGCCTCCGCGATCAATTAACCTGCGATGCACAGCGGAAACGCCGGTATATGCAAATGCATCCTACAGATACTTAAATAATCGGAATACAAGTCCTGCTGGCTGTTTGGCAGCGTGCGCTACAACGGAAGCAACAAGAGCGTAGCCGCGATGCATCGCGGCCGCGCTCGCCGGGGACTTCTTCACGCTCGGCATACAAAACAGTAATTAATAATTTCACTGTCGTAAAGGAAAAGAGAGAAGCGGCCTGAGCGGCTCCTCCGCCCGTCTGTTTCCTTCTGTCCCGGGTAATTGCTTTTTTCCAGTCGCGCCTCGGATCGTCCTGTTCTTTGTCCTTTCCTGTTCGACTTCTCCTACCGGTCGCAAAAAGAAGAAGTTATTATGCCGGCGAATATAATGTGTCCGAACGCGGGCCGCTCCCAAAAAAAGCAAATCAAGTCCCGGATTTTTATTAGCTGCCTACGCAACTAATAACCGTTCGCGCATTATAAATCTTCCTTAAGTATCAGCCAATTGGTACAATATATTAGTTCTTTTTTTTCGAGGCCAGCCAATCTAAAGGCTACAAACTTTTTTACGAATCGGCTGTAATAGTCTCCGCGAGCTTTCCGAATCCCCTTTCTTTACCTTCC